TGGGGTCAGTGTTGTGTGTCTGTGTACAGTTAAAGGCCAGATTTATGTGCAGCCTGTCCTCAATCAAGCGTGCATTCCTTTGCTAACTCAACACACACAAGTGCACCCAGAGGGTGCACCGTGCACCAAACCCATTTATCCCAAGGCATCACTGCACATAAAATAAATTTAAATATTGACGTACAAGCACTAATAGGCACTCTTTCCCATTCTCTTCCTCTCCCTGGATATTTCTGTGACAGAGTTTGCTCATAAAACTCCTAACAATGGAGACTTTCACAGAAACATCAGTAACCAAAAGAAAAGAGCAAAAGAAAACAGTCCAATAAAATAGATCCTATAAAAATTATGTTTATTCCCAGAAACTCCATTTCGCAGTCTCGTAAAAGTCCTCTGCTTTGTTTCCGCTTTTGCTTTGTTGTCTGTCTCTCTATTCACCTTATAAGCGGATCGTTTTTGTTTTTTATCCGAACATCACTTCGTCTTTTAGTGCCGTGTTGGGTCTCCGTTTCACTGTCGTCTCATGTCTCAGGACCTTAGACTCTCCTCCCCTCCTTCTTCATTTAGAATCATTCATTCCCAGTTTCTGATGCATACCTAAAACTTCCTAATTGGACACGCACATATGTTTTCCGCTCTGAACGGATTTCCAAAAGTTTTAAATTCCACTTATCAAAATATGTTTTTAATTATGCGTTTTATTTTTATTAAATCTAAAATATGAAGAATTTATTTTTATTTAACTTTTCTTTACTATTATGCTCCTTAATAAAATGTAATGCATAAAGTTGTGTGTAGAAGGTTCCCAATTGCATCCCAACAGCTCATATAACTGTTACTACAACAGCCCTGAATAGTTAAGGTGCACTTATAAATAATCACTTTATTTACATTTTAAGTAGAATTTTAGAAGTACAATGATAGATGCTAACCAAACCATGCTCTTGTATTCATGGTGGTGGCAGCATCATGCTTTGGTATGCTATTCTTCAGCAGGATTATAGAAGGTGGGTGGAGTTTATGGGAAGATGAATGGAGCTAAACACAGGGCAATACTGTTGGAGTAACAGTGGAGGCTGCAGGAGATTAGAAAGCGACGCAGAGTTTCAGCGGCTAACAGGATGCTAACCTTAAAAATACAGCCGGAGCTGAAATGGAGCAGTTCCGAGGGGTTGGATCGACCCATGGAGTTGGAGTAGGAAGTCGATCTATAAAGTATTTCCTCAGGTTCCTAAATACATATGCATGTCAAACTATTCTTTTTTATTTGTTAAACAATTCTTAATTATTCTTCATCTTCAAAACTATTGTTTTCTTTGTTTTGATCCCAAAAAAAGGCAATAAATTTCACCAAAGTTTGTGGTTGCAGCATGACAAAAATGGAAAATATTCAAGGAAAATGAAAACTTCCCAGGCATTCTACCTGCCGCTGACTTCCTTTGAATTTTGTAGCTTCTTGTGGTTTTTGGGTGCCAAAACTAAAAGCCACAAGTTAAATTCTTAGAAATTCCTTTACAAAATGTGTTTATAACAGAAATAGTTTCCTTATGTTGTCTTCTCTGCCTTTCTTATACTGGCACATTTTATTTTGCTGACTCTATTTTCACAGGAAGTATAGCACGTTTATTCTCAAACCAGAAAAAGAAAATATATTACCGCTTCATCATCTTACTCAACTGATGTTCTTGCAAAACCTTTAATATCCAGATTATCAATACATAAATATTATCAGATATCAAGTGCATGAGAGGGATATATTTGATTTATATTGCGTCACTTAATCAAATTATGATCTAGCATCTATTCTCCTGGTTGCACGTGTTCTTTGAGCGACCTTCTTGTGGAAGGAAGGGTAGTATTATTAACTAAATTTGAATCATTGAATAATATCAAGCACTTTTTCTATTCTCCATTGGTTTTTGTCAATGAACACTTGCAGAAAAACTACAGAAAGTTTAGTTGGAACTGCTTCACGTAAAGTTTTCCATTTTGAGCCTGAATCAAATATGTGAAACTTTAGGGGTTGTGGTGTAGCTCCTTAAGCAGGACAGTAAAAACCTAGAAGAATCTGCTGCTCGGTGAATTCGTTCTGACGTCTAGAAATGCTGCTGAATTTTAAAGCTATCCGCTGGACTCCTCTGTAAAATGTCAAGCTCATATTAGGCAACATTTATCAACCAGAGAAAATCTTATGTTCTTTTACACGTTTTGCCTTATGGTTTAAAAAATTTAAAGAAATTCCCATAGAAACAAGCTCCCATAAACACATGTATCCTGTGACATAATCATACAATGATTAATCTGAGTTGTTTTGCACCTATTTGAATTTTGTTTTCCTGTATTTAACTCTTGTGGTTGAATTTTAGACTTCGGTTTACAGCAGTTGGTGTGTTTTCCTGAGAAAAAAAAAAACACTACAAAAATAAACTTTAAAAAATGTACCAGTTCTTCTATTGTAGCTAAGAGCGCATTATGTGTTGTTTTGTGCAGGTTGGTTACAGTTTTTGGGATTCATTTGAGATGCAGTTTAATTTAAATTTTATCTCATCTAAACTTCTTTTCAACTCATAATGTAGGGGGAAAAAAAAAAAAAAACTTTTTGCATTTAGCCTCCTGGAAAAAATAAAAAATGAATGTCTTGTCTGCTGCTTTCTACATTTTTCATTTGTGAATCTGAATTTTACACGTCGGCAGTTCTAATTTAATTTATTTTATTCTTTCTGTCGGTTTTTTGTTAAGAACTTTACCTTGAAAATTCAAATACCAGGAACATGAAAATGCAAACAAAATGTGTATACATTGGTGAAATATTTAAATGAGTTTAATGAGTGGGACCTTTTAGTTTTAAAGCAGGGAAAGATATTTTAGAGTCTGGAAGAATAGGGGGGAGGAGAAGGAGGAAAAGGTGGAGGGGAGGGAGGGTTTTCTGAAGCGAGGGGCCATGTTAATTTGGGAAAAATGTAAACAGCATGTGTAACTGTTCAAAGCGTGACCGACTCATTTTATATCAGCCTCCCCTCTCCTCCCCTCTGGGTGCTCCTAACTTCTGTCAATCTGCACTGCATTAACCCCTCTGCAGCCAGTTTCCCCTCTCCTTTTATCTGCCTCTCTTCCCTGTAACTCACACACACAGACACACACACACATGTAACCACGTCGCTCCACAAACCCTCCTGACATGTATGCACCGTGAAGAATTGGCCAGAGCGAATCAGAAGATGTGAAGGGGTTCAGTTTATCCTCCTTCTTTTTTCCACATCTCTCTCTGTCTCTCCTGCTTCCTTTGTTTCCTCTGATTGGAACTTGCTGATCCAAGACACACTAAAGGTTTTATCTGAAACACACCGAGTCTAATGCAAGCCTCCCAGCCTTTCTTTTTTTTTACTGTGTGAGAGTGTAAAGAAACAGGCAGAAAGGGAGCCGTTCAGATATGGTTTTACCTGGAGAGATAAACGCTCTGAATGTCAAAGGCAATCTGCCCTCGTGTATTTATTTGTTCTGAGTGTCAAAGGAGGAAGATCTGCTTCTTATTTATTATCCTTTTAAAGTTTTATTTCATTTGCTGATTGTTTAGCGGTTTCCAACATCTGGCCACCCAGATGGACCAACTGAAGGAGAAGGTGGAAAGAAGAAAAAAGTGTTTAATGCAAGATTTCCGCACAGATTCTCCTCCTGCTGTTCCTTTACCTCCTTTTGAAGTTATTTCCTTGCTTTCTTTGTCAAGAAACAGCAGCCATCCCAATAGGAAAACGCATGTGTGTGTGTTTGTGTGTGTGTGTGTGTGTGTGTATGTATGTGTGTGTGTGTGTGTGTGTGTGTGTGTGTGTGTGTGTGTGTGTGTGTGTCCCCTCTCACACCCTGACTAAAGAGAATCATGTACTTTCTCATATCAGTGACAGTTAACTAGACAGGGGGCTTTGGCTGCTCTGACCCCTCCAACCTCCGTCACGTATGCAGCTCTTTAACTCTTGCTTTCAGCGTCAAATAAACCTATAACTGTTTAAAATGATTTATTTTACTTTTATTTTATTTATTCAATGTTTAATTATCGCTGTTATTCTTTATGATTTTTATTCAGCAGTGGTGCCACTGAGGGGGGACCAGAGGGGACCACCTGTACGCATCTGATTTAAAATATTGTTATATATCAGTTTATCCTCTTTCATCAGCATACATTTAAGGCGCACATATTAGATACAAGTTTTATTAATCTATTTACTTCTAATTTGTGAATTCTACCCTAAAGATATTTAGTTAACCCCAATATGGTCATCCCCTTTTAACATTTTCTGGAATACCCCCCCTTTTTTTTGTGACAGCTTTTCAATAACTTTTTATTCTCACAGTTTAAAAAAAATGAAAGTAACAGCAAATTGCTTCATACAAAGAATTTATCATTTTAAAATTTAGACCTTTTTATCCATTCTTGTGGCTAAGTTTTAGGTTTTTGCAGCTGATATACAGCTTTACCTTAATCTTATAAGCGGTGTGACCGAGGGAGAACTTCAGAGAGGAACAGGCAAATATGCTGTTTATTTATTCATTTGAACATAATTTTTTTCATATTATCATTATTTGTCTTTCATGGCTTCTCTTACATCTTATTCCTACAACACGCTTAGGTTAAAATTTAGCAGAGTTGCCATATTTTAAAATCATAGCCACTAATATGGGCATGAAGAGAATAATAATGCTCTAACCTATCAAATCAGTTTATTTTCCTTTCTTCTATCTACATTTCAAGCCAGCTATTACAACATGGATAGATTCAATTCCTAGAAGTGTTATGTTATAACTTTTGTTTTAAAGTTGCATCCTAATATTGACAGTGCCGCCCCCACATGGCCACCCCTAGAAGACTTTCTGGAAACACACCTGCATTTCAGGGTAATTTAAAAGTCCATAAATCACAACCAGTAATGCAGTCAAACATTTTTGAAGACTAGAATTGAAGCCAAATTTGCTTTTATAGATTATAAATAATATAAAATTTTTCTTACCTCCACAAAATCCTCTCATTATCTGTTTATCCAGTTTTTGGTGATGAAAAAAAATTATCTTTTTTTTTTCTTGTGTTGGTTCAGCTTTCTGTGAAAAAATAAAATAAAATAAAATAAAATAAAAGGAAATGAAGCAACAGGTGATGTTCTCCTTTCGTCCCTCTTTAGGAATAAAAATCTAAAGCAGACATGATGAATGCCTCTCAGGACTTTCTGGCTGACTTGTGTGGTCCGTGTGACAGACTGAATGACGGCGGAGCCTTTTTCAAGCCGATTCCTCCTCCTCTTTTTCTCCCATTCCTGCCCTCCTTTTCCATCCCTGTCTCCTCTTCTTCCCTCGTTATCCTCCTCCTCCTCCTCCCTCGGTGATTCACCGGGGTTGACGCACCAGCTGAACCTCGGGACTTGTCACAACTCATTCCTGCCTCTCATCCGCTCGTCATCCCGGAGAACCCAGCCTGACTGCGGCCGTTTGATGCTTAATCTGCGGGTCTTTAATAAGGCGACAAGTCTTCCTGGATCAGCTCCCCTCAGGCCAGGAGGAATCCGCTAATCCCACTGCGCAGAAAACAAGCCATTATTGCCGCGCACGCGCTTAATTAAACCATTAATTAATTAATGTTTACATTGATGCTTTTATAAAAATAAATATATATATATAACTAAACTGTGTATGTTTCCATACTTTTATTTATGAAATTGCATAAATTATTATAATTAAATAACTAACTTTGACATAATATATTGACAGCAAAAAACGGTGTTTTCTGTTAAATTGTTTATATATTTTTTAAAGTTATTTATCAAGATAAGTAAATAAATTTTTAACCCAATTTAAATATTTACACAAATTTTAATTCAAATTTAAATAAATTATTAATTTCAACAAGTGTTATTTCTTTTTTTTTTCTTTTTTTTTATCCGATTTCATTTTATGTGTGACAGCAAAACCTATAGGTTAGATTTTTTTACACACATTTTTTTTTTTTTTTTTTATCCCTCCATTTTTTTTTTT